TAATTATAAATTAATATACAAAAAAATATTATAATTACTTAATGTTATTAAAGGTAAAAAACAAAATTAAAATTTATTAGATAAATATTAATTAAAAAATGTGACCAAAAATTAAAAAATTAAAATGGTTAAATTTGTCAATAAAATTAAAAACTCTAATTCGCTAGCGGTTTGGTACAAAAAACTATATAAACTAACTTTTTCAATTCGCTAGCGGTTTGAATCCTAACTGCTATCCATTAGTATCAAATCGCTAAATAAAAATTTTACCAAATACTTTATTTCTAGCGGTTTCGAAATATATAAGTTTACTAAACACTTATATTTAGCGGTTTATGTAAAACCACTAACCGTTACTCCAAAATCTCTACCCCAAAACCGCTATACCAAACAGGCCAATATGTATTAATCTTTCTGTTAAAAATATATATATATTTTTAGTTAAACACTAGGAGAGTAGGAGGTAATATTTTTTTTAAAAAAAAATTTACTCTTCGACAACATGTTTACCATTCAAACATAACTACTAAAAGTAAAAGATTGCAAAAAATTATGAGTTCTTAACAATTAAAAGGTTATGAATAATGATAAAAAAAATTTAATATTTTTAATAAATTAATAAATAAAAAATTTTATTAAAAATATTTAAATAATTTCATAAACAGTTCTTCACATTTATAATGTTTCGATTTTCACTTTTAAAAAAAAAAAAATTCCTCATTTTACACAACCTCACAAAAAGATTTCGGCCTGTAACCACGGCTCTTTGCCTTTGAAGAAGTCCCCATTCCCCATTCCCTACAAGCTCAGGACACGTTTTCCGGTCTCCTTTCCCTCCCCTTCACTCGTGCCGCTTCACCCGCTTCGCACGTGCCACCACACACTCCCTCCTATATATACTCCCCTGCATCGCTCTTCCTCCTACTTCAAACCCAATTCCCAGTCTTCCCCCTCCCAGAAACTACAAAAAGGTCTCTCTTTTTCTCTGTTTAGCAATGGAGCCAGCGACGGCCACCGCTGCGGCGGCACCACCGGTTCCGGCACTGAAGGATGAGTTGGACATAGTCATACCCACCATTAGGAACCTTGACTTTCTCGAGATGTGGAGGCCGTTCTTTCAGCCATACCATCTCATCATCGTCCAAGACGGTGATCCTACGAGGACCATCAAGGTTCCTGAGGGATTTGACTATGAGCTCTACAACAGGAACGACATCAACAGGATTCTGGGTCCTAAGGCTTCCTGCATTTCCTTCAAGGACTCAGCTTGCCGCTGCTTTGGCTATATGGTGTCCAAGAAGAAGTATATCTACACCATTGATGACGACTGCTTCGTAAGTTTTTTTATTTGTGAGATTTTTTCTTCTGGGTTTTGTCTTTTTGCTTGAATTTTGGATCTTTGCCTGTGATTAATCTCAATTTCATGACTTTGCTTACAATTTGGATGGTTTGGTTTATTGGTGTTCTGGGATATTTGAGTTTTGATAGTCTTTAATTCATTCTCATATTTGTATATTACCAGCTGTTTTGTCATTTTACTCTTAAAACCGTATTTGGTTACCAGATTTTATCATCAAAGTTAAATTCTTGAGCCTAACAGAATTGCATTCCATATCTAAATTTTCAGTTCTATGTGGCCAATTAGCGTTGACAGAATTCACCTCTTATACTTTCTCCTGGTGTTTTTTCTGGCTTTGTGGTGTTATGATTTTGGATTACTAGTCTTTGTTCAAGTCCCGTATCCTTCTGCTACTAGATCTGGAAGTTCTAGTTTGAGTCTTGTGCCTATAGTATGTAACAACAAGAGTATCATTGCTTGAATTGGCCTTTTTTGTATTTTTTATTTGCTTCTGTCCTCACACGAAGTCACGAACTTGCATTTGATTATAGAATTTAAATGCGCTCCCGCTGACACAGGACTTTTAAGTTTTAACAGTTCTGCCCATGCCATTCTATTCTTTGACAGTTTGATCTACAGCTTTGGAATCTTAAAATGTTGTTTGATTGCATCACTTACCTGCTCGTTGCGAGTTAGTAGAGTTTTATAATTGGTAGCCAGCTATGCAATGATTGAGGCCGACAGATTAGACATCCTATTGTCCATTATTGTTGACATCTAGTTTCAGGCGATGTTTCGTACGTTTCTATTATGCAATTTTCCTTTCTAGGTCATTGGTTTGATTGCTAATGATATGAGTTACTTATTTTGCATTGATTTTCTTTATTGTGATGATATTTGGGGCTAATCCTTCCCCAATTTTGGATCTTCTTGATGCATAGGTTGCTAAGGATCCAGCTGGCAAACCCATCAATGCACTTGAGCAGCACATCAAGAACCTTCTCTCCGCATCTACTCCCTTTTTCTTCAACACTCTGTATGATCCATTCAGAGAGGGGGCAGATTTTGTCCGTGGATACCCATTCAGTCTCCGTGAGGGTGTTCCCACTGCTGTTTCCCACGGCCTCTGGTTGAACATCCCTGATTATGATGCACCCACACAACTTGTGAAGCCCCTTGAGAGAAACACCAGGTCTTCTTTCTTTGTCTTCTCATGTTCCAAGATACCAGAACTCATTTTCAAGTTTTAACTAGTAACAGTTTTTAACATCATCCTATATCAGGTATGTGGATGCAGTCTTGACAATTCCAAAGGGCACCCTGTTTCCAATGTGTGGTATGAATTTGGCATTCGACCGTGAGCTCATTGGCCCTGCCATGTACTTTGGTCTCATGGGAGATGGTCAACCCATTGGACGCTATGATGACATGTGGGCAGGCTGGTGCACCAAGGTATATGTTGCATCTTTTCTTTTTGATTTCCTAATTTTACTTGATGTTTAGCTTCCTTATGATGTCTAATCTCCATAAATACAGAATTGATAGCCAATATTGGTTTGATGATTGTATAGGTCATATGTGACCATTTGGGATTGGGAGTCAAAACAGGTCTGCCCTACATATTCCACAGCAAAGCAAGCAACCCATTTGTTAACCTAAAGAAGGAGTACAAAGGCATCTTCTGGCAGGAAGAGATCATTCCATTCTTCCAGCAAGCTGTTCTTCCGAAGGACTGCACCACCGTTCAAAAATGCTACATTGAACTTGCCAAGCAGGTGAAGGAAAAGCTTTCCAAAGTGGATCCCTACTTTGACAAGCTGGCAGATGCCATGGTCACATGGATTGAAGCTTGGGACGAGCTGAACTCATCTGGAGCCACCGCGCCCAATGGCAAAGCCTAATAGAAAGTTTTCATTAGCTTCAGATGACATTGTTTTGTTACAGTTATGAAACTAAAATAGCCTTTTAGTCATGATTGTACCTTTATCTATTTATGTATCTTCTTGCTTATGTATGTGGTTTAAACATTTCAATATTTCTAATTTCAGATGTAACTTTAACATGTTGCAGAGTTTTTTACAACAATAAACAGTCATTCATTTAGAAATTGGTTTTGCCTAATAACTGAATCTCAATACTATAATCCTGAACCTCTACTTTCTAGTCATGATAACTGGACCTCTCTCTTTTTGGAGAGTGTTGAAAGTTTAATTTTGAAAGAAAGCATACTATGATATGAGGAAAGGTGAGAAGAAAAGGGAAAGGGAGAGATCTGTGGGGCATTGTAAAATGTAAATGAATCTATTTTAAATTTAAACTGGGTCTATGCCCTGAAAGGTGGGTTTCAAATTGTTGTGTTTTGGCTCATAATGTGGTAGTGTGGTCCATGTGATGGATTTTGTTTAGAAATGAGGCTCCACACTTCACAGTCACGGGTTTAGTGCAATATTTCAAACTTAAATTTGTCTTCCCTCTAATCCAATTGAAACTTACCATTGATTTTTGGTTTTGGATAAAACCAAAACAAAAATTTGTACTCTTTCTGCCTGCTGTGTCATTTGCCTTTTGTCTTGAATCAGCTGTATCATTGCCTTTTGTCTTGAATCAGAATTGAACACTTTTCACATCAACGAATGAATTCATTAGAATTGCCATTGTAGGGATTGAACCCGTCGTGATTATTGAGGATAATGTTTAGTTAAAAAAAAAAAGAACAAACAAAAACATCCTTGCCGGATCAAACCTGGGTCGCCTGCGTGAGAGGCAGGAATACTCATCAGTATACTACTACTACTACTGAACATTCTATGTGAAGGAATTAAAACTATATATAATTATAATAAAAAATTCCCAAGTTTTTTCACAACCACGAACTAATTATGAAATCAGTTTAGAAAATTAGGGAAGAAGAAGCTTACTGTTGCCAGGGATCCACACCTCAACCTGATTTTATTAGTAGAGATAAAAGATTTTCTGATGATAGCTTTATACCAGATGGAATAGTTCTTCCCTTCTATAACTAGTTCCCACATAACTATTGTATTGTAATTTTTTTTTTTTCAATTATTATGGATGGAACAGTTTAAAATCAGACAATTTTAGTGAATTAATTATTTAACCAATTTCAATTAGCTTCAAACTTCTCTACTTTATATTCTTAATGAATACTCTCTTATCATTATCTTTATGTTAATTAACTTGATATTTTATATAATAAGAAATGACAATTTAAAAAATTTTGATTTAAATAAAAATATTTAACAAAAACTATATATAAAAAGAAAAAAAATTAATTATCATCTATTTACTTTATAAAATTATCTAGTCAAATTGTACATAAAAATCATATTATAACAACTAAATCAAAGTAGATGAAGTATAAAATAGTAAGATCTAATTGTTGTTGGTACATTATTTAGGAGTTAGAGATGTAAATTAAATAAAATACAAGCTCAATATAAATATACAAAACAGGGTAGGATTAGTTTATGGTTCTTACCCTAGTGTAAGTTTGATCTATGAGAACAAAAATTTCAAAAAACAAGGAACGATGAAGATCAACCGCGTACGAAAAGTGAAGTTATTGTCACACCTTAAATAGTTAATATTAAATATTTTTAATGTAATTATCTATTATACCCTTATATTATACTTTTTTTTCAAAAATTCTAAATTTTTTATTTTTTAATAAATTAAAAAATGTAATAATCAATTAATATAAAAAAATGTAACATTAATAGTTGAAGGTGTGACAATAACTTCACCCGTGCACAAGCAGAAAAATAAAGGAAAAAAAAAAATTGTGATGCTTCTTGAAATGCTACCAAAAAAATTTCCCTTGCAATGATACAAGAAGTATCATCTTACATCAGGTTTTCCAAAAAGAACACGAACTGACTAGAATAACTTAAAAAAACTCAAAACTTGCAATTTGCTAAACGGATTGTGGTTGTGCTACCCTTGCAATCCCAGACGTGAGAGGTAGAAATTTTAGAAGATAGAAAGGTAAACAGTGTCCTGTGGGATCTCAACTTGAGTACATAACATTTAGGAAGTTGAAGGATCCTTGATCTTTTGACGCTTGGCATCATGTTCGTCATTATCTTGATGGTTAATATGTCCATTTACTACATCTGCACCAAGAAGAGAGACGTGTTTGGTAGTAATTTGACGACCTGCCCTAAGCTTTGGACCCCAATGCCTCTCAGGATTTGGAAGGAAGCGTGCAACCTTCTTCGCTTGTGCCTTGCTAAGAGATGCAACAGCTCTGGCAAAATTTGCCTGCCAGGAAAAGAAGGGGTAAGAGAACTTTTAAACCAATAAATTCTCTCTATCTCAACTTCAGTGAGTTTGAATTTGTTGCATAAAATGAAAGTATGAAACAGAGAGAGAGAAGAAGGAAAGCAGACGGGATCAGCACGATAGCATGCATGAAAATACTAAGAGCCGTTTAGAAAACATACTTGAAGAACTGGTTCTCTGGAAAGTATCACGCTTCCTGGCTGATCAGCTGGTTGAGCTTTTACTGGATGATTTTTGACCTATAGAATGAACAAAATGAAAATCCATCAACCTTACATTACATAGCATACCAGTACTTGTAGGCTCAATTTGTAAGTTACATTACATATGTTCCCCATCCTTTAGCAGATTGGTTCAAATCTCCCCACCCCCAATATCAAAGAAATTTGTAATATACTATAATATTTCAAAAGACTTTCCTTCACTACCGTCGTATGATACAGTGGCTAAAGCCACTAGACTAGACGCATGCCCTTCTGGCCCTCCTTGGGGAAATCAGCATGAATGTCTATGAACTAATGTTGAAATTGTATTTCAATACATGCAGCAGACAGATATGAAAGATAAAGAAATAATTGAATAAAGTCCTTACCCAACAACGCATTATATCCCAAATTACATCCATGGGAGCATCTGACTTTAGCCCCAGGGGATTAACATGAGTTCCAGAAATGCGATATCCTGCATTGATCACAGCTGAGCGGAAAATAACGGCAGATGGAGAAGTGCACTTTAGTGTAGCACAGAGGTTGTGCAAACTTAAAAAGAGAGGAATATCAGGCAATTCCTGCAACATTGTCCAAAAATGATAATGAGAATGAGAAGTTTGCATTTAAAACATAAGAACAAAATAAGCAAAATCAATTATAAAAAACTATGGGCAGTAATACCAGTAACTTTTGTATTATAATATGTTGCACTAAGAATGGATGAACCTGCTAGGCATATTCAAGATTACATATCTTTTGGTGCACACATTATTGTAAATGGGATGTCCTTAAAACCAGATTATAGGCAACCTTAGTAGTTATTACCGCTGAATCCCACTTTGCAATACTCTTCCTCTAATTCATCATATTTTTTCTCCCTCCATTTCAAAATAGATTTCATTTTAGGGATTTTTTGCTGTTGTTGTTGATGTTTCCAAATAAAATTCTTTGTTTTTCAATTTTACCCTCCACTGCCTAAACTCTCTAGATACTATACCTACACTTAATTAAGAATTTTGAATAACTATTGAAAATTTTAAAAGGGTGATATAGTAATTTCATTCTGGTATATCACTAAAATTAAGACTATTGATTAACTTAATTCCTGTGCAACTCTAAAGCAACATCCATCTTGAAATGGAGGGAGTATACATCAATGGTCAAAGACATAGATTAAAATTTTGGACAGGTAAAATGAAAAAGGAAAAAAAATAATTCATTAAGCAATTTCAAGTACCAGGGAAATAAAGCCTTAAATAAGTTGCGCTGTATATATTCTTTAAAATTTCTTCTTCTCCTTTTTATTTTTTTATTTTTTTAAGCATTCGTTAAAGTATCTTATTTAAGAACTTATTTCCAATGAATCTGTAGAGTTCGTCTTCAAGAACTTTCTTTTCATTTTGGTGCCTTAAATAGCCAGACAATTTTCTTCAAAGACTTTACCATTTAGCTTTCATTTCAAGCAAAATGAAATGCAGGAACAGATTTATACTTTGGTTTACTTATGGCCTTAAATCAAGAGAAAAATGGGATGGCTCACTGCTTTTGAGATGATATAAGAAATCGTTGCAGGCTGGAGAAAGGAAAAGTAAAGCAAAAGAAATGGAGAAATACCTCTGAAATTGTTGTTAATACAGCAGATATGCGATCATAGGCAGGATAATGGTCCTTCATAGACTTCACATCTGCTAGTATTGAAGTTACCCACTCAGGATCATGGATGGGAGCAGACCATATGGGTCCACCCATGTTGAACTTCTTCCCACAATCACTGCACTCTTGGGGAACAACAGGAGCAAAGCCAGGAAGATATCTCACACTATTATTATTCTGAGAAAAAGGAATGCAGATAAAATATTAAAACATTATGCAGTGGAAGATTAGGCTCAATCAAGAATAGAAAAAAGAAAAGAAAAAGAAAAAGAAGCATTTGTATAGATCGGCATAAATGTAAAGAACATGTGATAGAACCTAGGCCACAGAGCAGTTGGCCACTAACCCAGTGACTCAACTGCTAGGCCATAGGCTCTAGTTCCCATGGCTATAATCCCCCCTCCCCCAACCCATGTAATACCATTGTAATTATTCAAAAGGGAAAAAGAAGAACATGTGATAAACCCTTGGAGTTCTCTCTAAAAACACCATTCTTATTATGGCCTATGATACAAGTTTTAACATATTTTCCTTGCAATTATTTATGACAGACACCATTGCCCCCAGAACTTAAGATTTCAAAGAGAGCTTTTCAGGGCTATATTCAAGTTCGGCCTCTGTCCTTTGTTTTCTTGATAGGTAAGTTGGGTCTCTCCATCAATGATTGATTTAACAACATGACAAAGTATGACAGCCAAGTCATTTATTGTCCCACTTGTTCATTGCTTCATTTTCACAGCCCACATGATACGATCCCTTTTCAGTTCCATCAGGTTTGCAGTTTGAAGTGGTCTTTTATTCTAATTGCCTCCAAACTGAACTGGAGGTCCAAATTTCAGCCATATGCAAGCACAAGCTTTATGTAAACTAACAGGACAGCAAACTATTTTAGAAGTGACATGAACAATCGAGAAGCACACCTTGGAGATAGTCCTCCCAAGAGGCTGAAGATGAAAAGAATCACAGCCAATGCACTGATAGACATATGAGAGCTTGAGAGGAGTGTTCTTCATAGCACTTGGAGAACTGCGACCAGTTACCCGTTAAATTAGCCTTAGCTCATCACAATATCAGGATGCTATTTAATCAATATGAATAACATAAGCAGGCCACTTACGTGTAAATACGAACAAAAACGCGAACATAAAAGTCCATCTGGACAGATAGCACAGGAACAATATACCGCTTGTAGCGATTTGCATGACTCTGCATTAAGAAACAAAGACTTATGTCACATAGATATTCTAGTTGTAAGTTTGTAATCAAATTCAGCCAAAAAAAGGAAACTATTACATAAGAAAATGTTTACGCAGCCCTTAGAGAAAATGCTACAAAAGAAATGCAAAAACCAAGCTCCAGCACTGTTTTTATTAAAATAAATAAATAAATAAAAGACAAATACTTCAGAAGAATGATGGAAAACTGGAGAATTTAAACCCTTAATTCATTTTAAAGTTATCTTAGGTCAAAATCTTTTCCCAGAAAAACAATGACAAGAAGATGCCTGAATTACACCATTTCTTTTCCATCAAGTATATTATTTTGGCTACACAGAAAGGAGCACTAGATGCCACCATCACTAATCTTACTTTTTGCCCACAAGCACCATATATCAATCACCTAGAGACTTCCAAAATAAAACAGACATATTTTTCAATGACATAAAATTACCTCAATGCAGGCCAAAAGAATCCTCAAAGCCATTTCATGGCAGTATTTCCCTCGCAGTGGGTAAGATCCATATCTAATTATACCAGAATTTAAAAACTAAGTCCAAAAATCCAAAAACTTGGTCCAAATGAAGGTCAGGCTTGTAACCTTACTTGGAATAGCAAACCTCTCCATTTCCGCCACATAGCACTGCCAAATCAGTTGCTGTGCACATTAGAATGCCTCCGTCAACAACAGATTGAACTGCAGAGTCCAGGAACACAGAGGGTGAACCATAAGGATCAAGATCAACCTGAAAACCAACAACCAATGAAGAGCATAAGACTCTCTCCTCAAATGCTTTTAACATTACATGACCAATATTTAACATGGCCAGTGATAATAATCATGCAAATGTGTGAGTTCAACCAATTCCAATGTTTAATGCTTTGATAGAGCATATATTGTCCTTCTATGCAATTTAGCCTGAAAAACAATGCATAAGAGGTACTATCCAACAGTTACAACTATCTATGGAGTTCAAACTACACACCACATCAAATTCTTTTGGGTGTGTGAGCATATACACACGAGCATCAGCAAGATGCGACTCCACTTTTGCACACGCTACAGAACCATTGAACTTTATGTTTCTCTGGCAAGCTTCAATTGCCCCTGCAAATTGAAATTCAAAACAATCATCCTTCTGATGCTTTTATTGATATGGATAACATAAAATAAAAATTGATCCTTCAGATCATTTTATCTAAATTGCAAAATATTACATCAAAACTACCTTTATCATTGTCCAAGGCCACAACTTGGCCAATCCCATCCACTTCACGAGCATATCTTAGAGCTCTTAACCCAGAAGCTGACAAGGCCTATGAATTCACAGAGGTAGCACTTAGAAAAGGGCTAACTAGTATTAGAAAATAGAATTGAGAAAATATTATGTCTGTGATTCCACAGAAAAAGATGACCATAGAAAACCTCTAAAACTCTTGGTGGCTTCAGCTCCCCTCTAACTTTTCCATCAAACTTGATTGGTTCTTCTGATATACTACATTGTTCATCTTGGGACATCTCTTTATCCCCTTCACATTCCCCATTCGGTTTTTCATGAACTGCATCAGGCTTGTCACTTTTTTCTTCTCTGACGGATCCAAAGTCATCCTTCTCAGACACCTTTGGTGCTGATTTAATCCTTTTAGACAAAAAAGCTTCATGTTCCTGCTTGCGTTTGGATATAAATGTCCTCAGTACAGCGATGGATATGTCTCTGTTGTTGACCTGATGTTGTGTGGGAATGATTAGCATCCACTTTAATTGCCAGAAAAACATGATACTAAACAACAGAACACCAATATAGTTTGGAGATAATATTGTTTGGCCAGTAATATTTTATAAGGCTTCACCACATCACAACATAATCATTTCACAATTTGCAGTGTACGCATCATAGTAAAACAGTTCATAACTTTATTTTATTTTTTCTAAAATATCTTAGAAGCTGAATGCATTTGAGCTCCTGAAGTTCTACAAATTACACACCAACCCTAAATACAACTGAATTCAGAACGTACAAGTTCATACAGTCAAAACGGTGGACAAAGAAAACTTTTCATAGCATATTTGGTTCGTTGAGGACTTTCAATTCCTCCAAATTTCTTACGTTTCCAGGCAACCAAACACAACCAATCAGCTCATACTAGTTGCCAATTAGTTTCACTGCCGGAAAGTCAGAAAACCCTTCAATGAGAAAGAAACAATCATAAAAAGAAAATTTTTAATCAAAGAAAAGATTGCCCATTTAGTAAAACCAGCAATTCAACAAATCCCAAGCAAAAAGAAGAACACATCAAAAAAAAAAAAAAAAAAACCACAAAAACTCTCATCTTAAGAACTCTGAATTAAACAAAAAAAAAAAAAAGAGCAGTTTTGGCACCTGGGTCTTGTTGTAGAACACTTCATTTTTTGCGTGCATGAGAATCTCAGCCTCTCCTTCCTTGATGATAGTGTAGTCGTTGAGATCCATTAACACTGTTTATCCTTTTTCATGCAAAAACAAATTGTGGGTTTCCTCTGAATTTACTTGCTCCTCTCCTCGTTCTTGTTTGGATGGTTGTTCAGATATGGAAGACAAATATGGGAGCAGTGACAATGGAAGACTTGATAGTTGCCTTTGATGTTTAAGAGTTCGTGCACCCAACAAGAACATATAAGAAAAAGGAGCCTTTTATATATGGGAATTTTGAGTCAGAATTTTCTTAAACCCTAATCTCTTGTTGAGGCTCACGTTAGAATTTGAACGTAGGCTTTTGCTAAATTGAACCTAGGGCAACAGAATAGATGTGCTGAGTCCGCTGACTTCCGGACCGTTTTTTTGTTTTAGGCCGAAACTCAAAATCGTAATCTGTCCTTCAGGTTTTGAGTTAGGGACATATTCACCCTTAAACTAAATACAGAAGCAAATTACCTCACTAACCAATAAGTTGGACAAATTACTTCAAATTTAGCTACTAACATTATATGACATCAGTTTTCTATCACAACTAGAAAGGTCACATAAATAAGAAAGTAATGAAAAACTGATGTTATGTGATTGCCTTTAGAGTAATTAAATTTAAGGTCATTTGTTTAATTTAATTAGTTAATTAGTTGGCATACCAATTTATTTTGAGTGTCAATTTGTCCTTGCCTTCATACTTGGGGCAAATTTGAGGGCTTGACTTTTATTAATGGTTTTTCTAGTCTATTTATTTATTTTTTTTATAATCAATTTATATAAAAAAAATATTGACTCTAATTTAATAAACTAATTAATTAAAATTATAATAATATTAAAATAAATGTCAATTTTTATATTTTTATGTAAATTAATTATAGAATAATACGTTTATTATATCTTAACTTATGTGAGTATACAAACTTTTTTTAAATAAGCAAT